TTCACCAGAGACAGAGTGGGGAACAGAGTAGGCAGATCGATGAAGTACACTGCTGAGGGGAGCAGCGGGCGGGTCAGGAGAGGTCTGCCACGCCATGTGGCCTCCTCCAGGGCAGGCGGGAATCGAACTCATGCAGAAGCGGCTTTAGATTCTCAGTGCTGTGCTTTAACCCGCTGCGCCACCAGGGAGGGCCCCTTTGTTAATTTTTAATAATAATGGAAATGACTTGTTTTGATGGAAGTGTCTTGGAAAATGGAAAACGACACAAGTTCCAATATTTAAAATAATTATGTGTATGAAGGGCTTTTTTTGTTTTGTTTTTATGCTTTTCTTACAATTTCCAAATACTAATGCAAAAATTATCCTCGGTATAACAATTTGAACTCTCCTCAAAAAGCCATGCAGCAGTCCAGCCATTAGGGGGAGTTTGGAGATTTTTCAAAGTACCCGAGCCAGAAGGTTACCAGCGTGGGGTTTAAAGGTTCCAAAAATGTGGCCAAACCTGTCCTGCAGAGCAAAAGAATTCCAACCTACAAAGCATTTCAGTTTTTTTTTGTTTTGTTTTGTTTTCTACTCTAACATAGTTCGAAGGTTTCAAAATGGGAAACTCACTGAGTAGGAAAGAAAGTGGAAAAAATGTTAAGTAGCTAATGCCCAATACACTGAAATGACAAGGTTTAAAAGTCAATCAAGTCACTGCAAAATAAAGAATGAATGGTGGTGGCTGTACTATGTGTCTTTGAAAATAAAAGGACCATCCAGAAAAGCAGTATTTCTTCAGAACCAGGTGAAGAAAACAGTGGTCCCAAACACTGAAAAAAAATTCTTTCTTAAAATCCCAATGTAAAATAGAAATTAAATTAAAAACAGTATTAGTGTACAGCCCTTCAGTGATTTATAATATACCTCAATGAAAGATGAATAAAACACAAAAGTTCCATTTATGTGTAGAAATGAAAGTAAATGTTTCTTTAGTGCTTATGTAATCCAGCACTGGGTTGAGTAAAATTAAATAATACTTAAAATTAAAATGTCAATTATATTATGAATTATTTTAATCATCATTCTCTTAACTTACTTAGAGACTGCAATAGCTTTAACTTGTATTTTTCCATCAGGAAGAGTAATAGGCTTCTTATACTTAAATGTATTATTTTCACCATGACCAATTCTCCTTAGAAATTCAGGTTTGCTGCCATCCAGGGTATAATATATATTGACATCTGGAGTGTCTGAAAAATCCAAAACAGGATAACTGTGATTAACATTAAATATCATGTGCCTGAACGAGGCCTACGTGTCAGTTATTTAATGATTTTTTATTTAATAATTTTTTTTTTTTTCTTGTTTTATTGTTTTTTTTTTTTTTTATAATAGCAACTTATAATTACTTTTGGCATTTGTGTTTTATTTAATTCTGTTTAAAGTGTTTCTAAATCCTCTTGCGTTTCTTTATTGATCAGGCACATATTGTTATTTTCCCCTTCTCTTTCAACATAAATGATGACACACCATAACCTATTCCAGGCTTCTCATTTTTCATTGGACAATGTATCTGGGATAGTGTTCTTGGTACATAGAGTGTAAATACCTAGTATTATCGTTGCTGGATTATATGGTGTTCCCATTTTTATTACATTGATAACTCTTCATACAGTTTTCCATAGAGGCTGAACCATTACATTCCCACTCTATAGTGAGTGTTCCCTTAAGGGCTTTATTTCCCTTGTTTACCTTCTGTCTGGATGATTTATCCATTATTGCAAATGGTGTTTTGAGATCCCCGATATTATTGCATTCCATGTGTTTCTTTAGATGTGTAAACAATTGTTTTATTTGGTGTATTGGTTATATAAATCTAAGTACAGAGCTTCTTGATGAATTGTATCCTGGTCATTATATAGTGCCTATCTTTTCAATGATTGCCTTATTAAGCTCAAAGTCTTAACTTTAGCTGTGAGAACAATTCCTGTTTTTTTGTTTTGTGTTAGTGGCTTGAAATACCTTACTTCAGTCTTTCACTTTAAGTCTTTGTTTGCCTTTAGAATTCAAGTGAGATTCTTGAATACATAATATAAAGTGCTGGTTCATGGTTTTTAAGTTGGTAGGTTTAGACCATTCACAATTAGGGTGATTACTAATATATGAGGTTTATTTACTGAAATTCTATCTTTTGTTTCTTCCCATGGGTTTCTATCTGGCTTTTTATTTGGGTGTCTTTTCCTGGTGGGCATTTTGGTTTCTTCATTTTTACCCCCCTGTATCTTTGCTCCAGAATTTAGTTTGTGTTTACCACGAGGGTTGTACTAAACATTCTGTATCTAGAATAGTCTTCTTTGTGCTGGCATTAATTTGTCATCATTTAGTTATACAGTTTCTGTCCTTTCCTTTTTTCCCTTGATGTTTTGTTGTTGTTCTATATTGTTCTTGTTTGTTTCTGATTTTATGTTTCCATATGCTAGAAAGTAATGGCGAGCCTAAGAAGTATGGGTCAATCCAGTATTACTGGTGAAGATTATATATACTTATCTGTGTACATTATGATAGCTTTTTCAGTTGGATCTGAAGGAAAGGTATGCAGGTGGTGGGCTATCCCACAATGTCTTGGTTCTGTCTCCCAAAGTCAGTTTTGTACATGCATTTGATCATATGTTTCATCTATAAAATGTTCCCTTTCCTTATGTTAATTATGTGTGCATGTCCATCTCTGGCATTACCAGAAAATATAGTTACTGCTTTATATCTGTGTGAATAGTTAATATTCATTTTGGCATTACTATATGCCAGGCCCTGTGTGCTTCACACAGCAACTTACCTAACCCTGCAGTGCCTCCAAATGGTGGATATTACCATCACTGTGTAACAATGAGAAAACTGGAATTCAAAAAGCCTATGTAATGTTCCAAAGGTCACTAGAAGTTTGCAAAGCCAGGATTCAATCTCTAGCCCACCTGACTGGAGAGCCTGTGTTAGAAGGTCAAAGGTATTATCCCAGCAAAATAACAAAATTCCTGGGAAGGCTTGGAAAAGCACAAGACACCTTACCTTGATTAAGGTTAGTCAAAGCATTGCTTCAATGACATACCTATACAAATGAAAAGGGTGACCAGCACTAACCACTAACCATTCAAGTCTAAATATATACCTCCCTGTAAGCCACCAAGTACCACAGTTTCACATTTTGCAAGTTCTACAAACTTCCAAAGGTCTTGATTATAGGAAGCATGCAACAACCACTGAATATAATAGCAAATCACTGTAATTTTAAATTACTTCAAGTAGGTCTAATTCTTACCTGATTTCATTTCCAAAAGTGTATTGTTATCAATTTCATGGTTGGCTTTTCCAGGCTGAGGCACTCGTAGTGGTATTATCTGAGGGACACACACTGAACCAGCAGTCATTTTCCCTCTTCACATTAAAAAGATTGACTATGAATTCCAGTGAGGATCTATTCTATATTAGAACACAAGAATTGGAGAGAAGCACCTAATAAGACTAAAGGGACTATTGTTTCTACACCAACTACAAATATTATTTAATTTTTAACCGAAGTAATTAAAAGTACAGCTGTACTTTTGTTGTTGGGGTATTGTATGGGGTTTTGCTTATTGAAATAATCACCTTGCTTCTGGAAAAAGAGCATGAGCGAAAGAGGTAAGGATGAATTGTTTTACATGAGCAATTAAACGACTAAATCAGAACAGAGACCATTACTAATGATCTGGCAAAAGGTCCTTCTGCATCATTATCACCCTTTCCTGCCTTTCATTAGTTTGCCACCTCACTGGGCTTCAGGCAAGTTATCACATTTTCTTTAGGGCAAGAAGAAGACATGCATGTAGCATGAAATACTAATTTACAGGCAACTCCCTTGGGAAAACTCCAGGTTAGAAGTACTGCAGTTGTTGCCAACTGGTTCTTGCTTTTGAAAACTGCAAAGAAACCTTAGGACAGCTGAGTGTCACATCTCACCTGAAAGGACGTTGGCATAGATATAAACAGTGAGTAACAAATACAAGTCTTCCATTCCATTTATTGTATTTATAAATAAATTGGTATGGAGGCCTTTCTGACCCGATACTGGAAGGTGTCATAATTTTTAATACATAAAGGATTCAAGGGAAGTGGGGGAAAAGTCCTCATCTTTACACAGCAACCATTTTTACATCTCTGTACATTCCTTTCAGATCTCAATGATTTGGTTTGCTTTACACAGTTATAAACTATACATTCATTCCATTTTTACAGGCCACTTATTATTTACAATTTTCCACGTAATTAAATAACCATTTATCAATTTGTGATGGGCTATTTAGGTGATAACCAGTTTCTTTCTTTCATTTTTTGCGCTGGTTGCTGCAATTCCAAATTATGCTTCTCTGAACATCTTTGTGGCTTGAGTTTTGTCACAAATTGCACTATCAAAAATGGATAACTAAATTTAAGGAGTGAAGTTACTGCCTGGGTGGTTAATTCCCGGTAGGAGGCCAAGAATTTAAAGCATTGATACTCATATAGGAGCAATATAGCCCCTACAGACTTGAAGAAAAGGGGTGGTCTTGCATTTCCATTTAAGAGAAGCAGTGAAAATAATATTGGGAAATAAGTTCAAAATAAAAATAGTTGTAGAGGGAGTAATTCGCATGAGGCAACTAGGAGCTGCCCTTGAAAGGCTGGGGGACGTCAGTGTACCCAAGCGAAGGGAATAAAAAAGTAGAACAATTCGGTAAGTCTAGGTGGCAGTGTGTGTGCGCGAGTGTGGGGGTCAACAACACTCCCCAACTCCCTTCTTCCAGACCGCCCCTTTCTGCAGGGACTTCAACCCCCTCTGGCTCCCGAGCTCGACCAACAGGTGTAACTATGGACTCCAGCTTCTTTCGGCTGGAATAAGGGAGGCCCGTCTTCTTCTCTCGTCTTTGGGACCCCGAGATACCTCCACGGTCCGCAGCCAGACAGCCCACCTCTTACCAACTCTTGCTTTCTCGGTTTCGGCAGCCCAGGTTACCAGAGACGCTGCGAGCCGCGCCCGGCCCACTGAGAGCTGGGCAGCTGATTGGTGGAAACCACACTTCCTGGCAACCAGCCCCGCCCCTACCGCTTGGCCGGGGCGCTGGTATCCGCATCGACCGCCTTTCCTGGGCATCTAATAATGTGCCTTCACAGAAATTGTACACGGCTAAAAGGTGGCGACCCAACTCAAAGCGAGGGAACTAGCTTCCATTCTCTGACAGACATTGACATTCTGGAAACAAACAGTGAGAAGATGTAGCAGGGTGAAAGAGTGAGTCAGAGCAGGCGTAGCTTGACCACCTGAAGTCGACAGACGCGGAAGTACTTCCTGCGACACGAAGAAGAAGGACCCACGCCTCCAGCCAGCACTGTGTCTTTTGGTGTTTCCCAATTTCCCTTTTCCAAGACTTGTGTTTTTCTCCGCCCGGTGGGTCTTTTCCCCGGCGAGCCGGGGCAGATTTCTCATGGCTGAGGTGAAGGTGAAGGTGCAGCCGCCTGACGCGGATCCGGTTGAAATAGAAAACAGGTAAACCAGTGAGGCTCTGTTTCGGGTTCGGAAGACCCCGCAGACGACTAGTCATTCGGCGACGGGACCTCTTGGTAGTTATCGGACCAAGTTCAATAAGCGCTCAAAAAAGGGATTTCGGGGTTTGGATCCACCTCCCACCTCTGGATAGCAAGTGGACTCTTTGAAGTCCAAAACGAAGTTGACAGTTTGCTATTTTGTGTAGCTGATCTTGCCCTGATGTTGTTAGGGAAGTTGTGTTCTTGGTGCTTTGGGCCTGCATATTATGGCCGATGCTCAGAGAAAGATGCGGCATATCCCGGACACTACTATAGATACATATTCTAACCCAGGATCTCTGGTCACTAAGGAAAACCCCACAGCAAAATGACAGGGTGATGTTAGTGTGCAGTTGTGATAATCAGGCAACATAAAGGTAGGTGGTTTCAGTGCAGAATTTTAAGAGTATAGGGCCCCAAAACCTCGCTCAGTTTAGTATTCTTTACCAGTGGTTTACTGGACACTAGATAATTTTTTAAGTAAAAATTAAAGACCCCATTTTCACAAACCGTTATGAATAACACACTAATCTGTGATGTAAGTGAAGTTTGAGCTTTTTTCGTTTTGATAGATGGCTAACAGCAAGTGCCAGTTGTTGTCAGGAGAAATATTGGTTTCTTAAACCAGAAATGTCTGGTTTGCCTCCTGCTATAAGTTTTCTCCTGTTTACAGATTTCTCAGTACACTGTATATTGACTTTGTCAGACTTGTTTGATGTGAGAAAAATTGAACCTCAACTTCATTATTTTCTCCTGTGTTTTGATTTTGAGGTTTTTGATCTAATTAAGTTCATTTTAGTGAGAGAAATTAATACTTTATGTAACAATAATGTAAATGTGTATTTCAAAATCGTCTACCTCTATTTCTGACATGCTTTGATTCAGAATAGTCGTTGAAACCCATTTGATTATTTTCCAGTTTTGCAAAAAAGCACAATTTCAAGTTGTTCTGCTTGTGTTCCTCCCACTGCCATTTGAAATAGATAAAAACATAAATGATATTATTAATACTTTTGTTCCTAGGATTATAGAATTATGCCACCAGTTCCCTCATGGAATTACAGACCAAGTAATTCAGAATGAAATGCCTCATATAGAAGCCCAGCAACGGGCAGTGGCCATCAATAGACTTCTGTCCATGGTAAGGTGAATCTAGCTAATTCATGTAGTTACTTATATGTTATGATTATCATTACTTCCTATTAGGTAGTCATGAAACCATTTTAAAAGTGTGTTAGGCAGCTCAGACTGTCTCTGAAGAAAGAAGAAACGATTATGTGTCATTTTACAAGACAAACATATTTTGTTTTAACCATTGTGTTTATTAAACTAATTGTTATAATACTTACTTAGGGCACATAGGTATAGTCTGTTCTCACCTTCTGTTTGCTTCCTACTGCTGATTTTGGCCCATTCCTTATGATATACCCCTCTTCCTGCTAGTTTTTCTACAAGTCATCACAGAGCCAGTTTATTAGGTTATTATTCCCTGTAATCTCATTCTGAGTATTACAGGAGTCAGGGATAAGTCTAAGTGAATGTTAGCAGTGCTGGCTTTCTGGGAGAAAGTACAGGCCCAGTCCCCAGTAATACTGTAATAGGGGTTTTCATTGAAGCCCTTCTAAGCTGTTCTTACTGCTTCTGTTCTCCCAGGTTCCTTGTCATTCTTCAGCTATTCAAAACACCCCACCTAGTGATACCTCATGCTCTAAACTTACCCATTTCTCCTTTTCATCAAAATTACCATGTCCTGAGAGCACTTTAGCTTCATCTTAGTAGCACTTAGGTCTGTTCTAAGGATGCATCTGAAGACTGACTTGCTTTTAAAATCTGTTATCTTTCTTGGATTTTTAATGACTTTGGATATGAAAACGGAGGATGAGTGAACCTTCTGTTAAACCATGCCCTTTAACATTCTAGCTCAGAGGTTGGTAAACTTTATAAAGTGCCAGATAATATATCTTTTAGTCTCGACATTGCAAGAACGTAGCTGTGAACCACAGATAAACAAATGGATATGGTTATGTTCCAGTAAAACTTTACTTGTAGAAGCAAGGAGTGGGGCAGATGTTAATCCTTAATTTAACCCAAGGGGAAAAAAAGGCGCTTTCTAATCAGTTTACTATGGGAAGGTCTTCAGCTCCAAGGACAGAGAAAGGAATGCTGAGGTTGTGGCAAAGGAACATTGTAAACTATCCTCAGTACTCCTCTTTCTTTCACTACCTCTGCAATCTTACCTCCTAGTCCTACTGGTAATAAGCTATAGACTGTGGTGGAACAAACCAAGAATTAAGTAAGGGCATAATTATTAATAAATCTTCAAGTGTTGGTTTAATTTTAAATAAGTTTGTCGTTCCCTCCCCCCCCCCTCCCCGCCCCATTTACATTACTAACACCTCTCTCTGCATGTGTTCAGGCTCTGGACTTTTACCTGTACTATTAAATTGTTTCTAAACTGGTTTTCCTGGGCTTGTCTTCCTTAGAGCAACCAGGTTGATCTATCTTAATTAAGTCTGAGATCTTAATTAGATCTGAGTAAGTCATTTTTCCACCAAAAATCTTGTCAATGCTAGAGAGTCAAATCCAAGTTCCTGGGTTTACAACCTGGAGCCCAACTTTCCTCACCTACTTCATCTCCCTCTATCACTTTATCAAAAGTTAGACTTCAGAGGGAACTGAATATTTTTGAACACTACCACATAATGTTGCTTCTTGTCTCGGGTCCTTTGCTCATGCTATCTTCCTTGCTTTGATGGCCTTTCTTCACCCTGACCAATTTCTCGTTATCCTTTGCAGACTCAGCTCTACTATCATCTTCAGGAATTCTTCCTGAATCCCCAGGTTGAGCCAAAACTTTTCTGAAAATTCATCCCACCATTTAGTTCACTCTGTCTTAACACCAGTTGTATGGCACTGAAATAAACTGTGTGTTTCTTGTTCCCCAAACACTTACAACAGTAGAGGTATTCAGTAAATGTTCTTAGACTGACTCAAACAACTGAATGCCACCTCCAAATTGAGCTTTGTGATTCCATTTGCCACTTAGTGGGGCCTGTGGAAGGAGGATATTGCTGTTTATACATATGTAAACCCATTTCCAAGTCATGAGGGTGCCCCATATTAATTCTTGGTAATTTGGTTTCTTTTAGCCATTGCTTCCAACAATTAACATAAGACAGATCCAAGGAAATTTAGAAGCATGTTAGATGTATTTTTCTTTACTTTTGATTTGTTATATAAAAAGAAAACTACTACAGGTCTTGCATTCATATATTGACCTGTCTAATTTTCATGCACCACAATAAAAATCATGCGTATCAGTAAATGTCACTATTAACTTTGTAAGTTTTGTTAATCATTGCGTTAAAGAATATTTTAGTATGTTTAGCCTTTATTTGAACTTTTTATTTTTTATAAATTCTTATTTTTAGTATATTTAATTATATCCATTTGAGTTTTAATATAGTTTTTATTATTCAAAAGTTTCTTGTTTAACATTCTTTATACATTGGTTATTAACCAAGTGAGGAACTATCATATGTGAAATTGTTAGGTATTTGTATTTTGAAAAATGATGAGATAAAGAGCAAAGTTTTGAAAAATACATTGTGGAATATGTAGACAAAAATTTAAGTGTCATGTGAGGAACTGACAAATAGCTGAATGAGGTAGGGTATTTCAGTATGTGTAAACTATTCAACAATGCATTAACATTTGGAGTATGTCTCCAAAATAATTGCTGTTTTCTACATTAAAAAAACTTTAGGGTCAGTTGGATCTCTTAAGGAGCAATACAGGCCTTTTGTATAGAATAAAGGATTCTCAGAATGCTGGGTAAGCACATAATTTTTTATTTCTAGAAAAATTTAATTTTAACAAAGTATTTTTTTTGGGGGGGGGAAGCCAATACAGAATTGCATGGTATAAACTTATCTTGCATCTCATCCTTGCTTATTATCATGAGTTCCATTTTGCAGAGATAACTAGCTCTTAATAACTTGGTATATATCCCTTCTTCTAGATACATAATTATATATTTATATATAATCTTTTTTCTTTCTTTTTTTTTTTTTTTTTTAAAACAAAATGGGATCATGCTATCCATACTGTTTTGCAACTTGTTTTTTTCACTTACTATATCTTGGACATCTTTTCATTCTGGTACATACAGCCCTGTCTCATTCTTTCTAAGGTAAGCCTTTCTTTTGGTAAATAAGTCAATACGATGACCTTTTCTTCTAATTCATATGTAGTTGTAGAGATTATTAGATTATCCTATATCTCTTTGCCTTTTTAATTCTGTTCTATTTCCCTGCAGTAAAATGAAAGGATCAGATAATCAAGAAAAACTAGTATATCAAATCATAGAGGATGCAGGAAATAAAGGTAAGCATGTGAAAAAGCAGAAAATTGTCTTTAGAACTAGATGGGTGGCCTGAGATCCTGGTTTCTCAGGATATACATCAGTATGTAGAGCTTCCAGTTGTATTAAATGGAGAAGAAAGAGTAACATGCATATATAACATCTATGGGCCTGAAAGACACCAGAGTGATACTGTTGCTTTAAGGGAGGCAGTTACTAGATGCCTGAGTCCAGAGATGGAATTCTGAATTCTGAACCATGTGAATGTATTATTTATTGACAATAAACAAACTTAAGATTTTTGTAAAAATTCTCATGTTTTTAACTTCAGCAGCCTTAATTATTTATCATATCTACATGTTGTAGATAATCAATCTCTCTCTTTTTTTTTTTTTTTTTTTGCACAAAACCACAGGACTTCCACTAGGGAAGTTCATAGTGCAGTGTGGCAGCGACTTAGGTACATCCTTCAACAGCTATTTCCTCTCTTATCCCCTAAAAGAATTGTATCTGTTAAGCAACTTGGAATTTATATGCTTTATTAATATTAGCTTTAACGATTATGAAGCAACCTGAAATCATATAATTTTTAAATCTATTAGTAGGTAGTTAAACATTTGAAAAATAGACATATGAAAAAGTCATTTTTTTATTAAAAAAATTCTTCCCATCTTTATATGCCTACTTTGGAAGAAAACAAGTCAAAATACTTTCTCATAAAATTTCCTTCCCATCTATAATACTTACTGCCTTCTTTAAAGGAGGAAACATAGCTCTCAGTACAGGGTTTCTAGTGACTGTTAAGAGTCACAGTCATCCATTTTCCATCTCTCAAGTGCAGTGTTGCCTAAACTGTGGATATGTAGGCACATAGATGTTCATGTAAGGGGTTTTGTTGCTACCTGTTGAGGATGGTAGCTTGGCCCAAATATAAACTTTTTTTTTTAGTTGAGAGTAAAAATAACAGAAAACAGATTGGCATGCAAGAGTGATGGAGGAAACAATATATGTTAGTCTAAAACAAAAAAGATTTTTCTCCAGTTACAAAACTGTTTTTTCAGAGGTGCCACACTAGGACTTCAGCTGTGTTCTAGGACTATGTATGCACATATGCAGGGTTTGCTAATTTTGGAATAAGAGCTAAGCAATGAGGTAAAAATCCAAATTCTATAAATGTTCAACTTATTTTACTTTACTTTTTTATAGGAATATGGAGCAGAGATATCCGATATAAAAGTAACTTGCCATTAACAGAAATTAATAAAATTCTAAAGAATTTGGAAAGTAAAAAGCTTATCAAAGCTGTTAAGTCTGTGGCAGTAAGTAGTTTCCTTCTCCCAAATATATTACATATATTGCTCTAAGTTTTATTATTCTTTAAGCTGTGTTATAATTTAAAACAACTAGGATCCTTACCTAGAAAAAGGAAGTTAGGAGAAAGTTTAAAAAAAAAGAATAAATTATATCGACTGACTTAATAATAATGTATCGATGTTAATTAAATTGTAAAAACATTCCCTGCTAAAGTAAGATAGCAATAATGCAGGCAATTGAGTGCAAGGTAAATTGGATCTCTATACACTTTTCATAACAGTTCTATGAATCTAAAACTGCTCTAAAATATGAAGGACTTTATTAAAGATTTATTTATTTATGCATACAAGAACTGGAGTACAGGACAGAGTTGTGGTGGGTGAGAGGATTAACCGGAGACAGAGTGGGGAGCAGGACAGGCAGATCTACTGGACGCCATGTAGGTCAGCTCTCTGGTTGGGGATTGAATTTATGCTGCAGTGGCTGAAGATAGCTTCATAATGCTGTGCTTTAACCTGTTGTACCACAGAGAGGTCCTAAAATATGAAGGATTTTTAAAAATATCTTCATTTTGGAAGTCTGTTTGTTTCTGATGTTATAAAGACATCTGTTATGTATATTTCCTCCTAGGCTTCAAAAAAGAAAGTGTATATGCTCTATAACTTACAGCCTGACCGGTCTGTGACTGGTGGTGCCTGGTACAGTGACCAGGATTTTGAATCAGAATTTGTTGAGGTGCTTAACCAACAGTGTTTCAAATTCCTACAAACCAAGGTGAGGCATAATTGAGAAGAATACTACAACTCTTACTTTTTTTTCAAAAGTTTCTCAAAGAATGTTACATCTCATAGATTATACTTTCTAAGAATTAAAAATACTGAAATTGGTCACTTTCAGTAAACAAAATATTTTGTTACTGATTTCACTGTTTCTAAACTATACACAGATTTATGTTTCTATCTTCATAGGCAGAAACAGCACGAGAAGGCAAACAGAATCCAATGATACAAAGAAATAGCTCATTTGCTTCATCACATGAAGTTTGGAAATACATCTGTGAATTGGGAATCAGCAAGGTGGGAACTCAGTTTCTAATAATTATTATTTTTAAAGTATTCATCATAGGAATACAGTTTACAATGTATTCAAATCTTACTGGACACAGATCCTTTGATCACATAGCTGTGAATTTGCTTTGGGAAAGTACTGTCCTAAGCCCGTTAGGCAAAGGTTATTACTGCTGTCAGGCACTGTTGGAAACTTTTTGTACTTGAGCTTGGGATATACAGCAGCTTCATTTCACTACCAAAAAATTCAAAAGTCTGTTCTTGTCAGTTAAGTTCTTGACTTTCTCTCAGAGACCTTTCAACATATGTGCCAGACTTCATCATCACATTACCTCTTATTCACATTAATTGTCACATATTGGTATTTTCCTTATGTGGCTATGTAAGTGGTACTATATTCTTTTGAAGAACTGTACATAAGGACACTATACTGAATCATTTCACAGTCAGAGAAAAAATTTAAGTGGCCCATTGGACAAATCATTTTCATTTCTTGGGCTCTTCATTTATCATTTATAAAAAAGTAGGAATTTGGACTGTATGATATCTAAAGTACAAATATTCACAAGCATTTTGTAAATTTACATTAAATTCTTGCTAAAGAATTATTTAAAAAAACTTAGATTTTACTTAGGAGGCCGAAGACATCAGGTAGTATGAAACTCATCATGAGGTTAGAGTTCTGTCGTTAGCATTTCAGTGACTTGTGCTACCGTGGGCTTTCTGATTATTCTTCCACCACAGTGTTGCCCTATTTCACCAAGGAATTGTGACCTTTTACTGTTTATAACGACGTCCAAAAGGAGTTCTCCTTGATCTGTTTGTGCCCTATCTAATGTATCCCTTTTTAGGTAGAGTTGTCCATGGAGGACATTGAGACGATCTTGAATACGCTCATTTATGATGGGAAAGTGGAGATGACTATCATCGCTGCAAAAGAAGGTACTGTTGGCAGTGTAGACGGACACATGAAGCTGTATAAGGCAGTCAACCCAATCATCCCACCCACAGGCTTGGTCCGAGCCCCCTGTGGACTCTGCCCGGTGAGTTAAAGTTGCTTCACTTTATCCTTGACTGCTACTAATTGCAAATGTCACGTATCATCAGCAGGCATGCCCCAGTTACTATCAGGGTAGACCAAGAATTGTTCAGACTTCCATGTAACTTTGACAGCAAACCTTTAGTGAACAAATCGTTGTCTTAACATTCTTTCTTAGAATAGGTAGGTTAAGAAAACTTGTTTTCTGCTCTTGGCCCTGAAATGGACAACTTGATGACGACTGAATTAGCCATGAAACACTTAAGTCAAAGAGAGACAGATTATCTCCTTCCCTGTTTTCCTGCTGTAGCCTTTTGCTCATTAACCAACTTTATGATCACAGAGCAGGTTCGATTATAGATCTTAAATATAGTTCTAAGCTTTCAATGTGAAAGTTTTATTTTTAATACTATTTTAAAGACATTGTTGGGTCTTGGCTATTTGATTAGCAGAAATTTTAATTGTAATTGACACTTAAGTGTCAGCTTAAATTAAAAACTGTATAATGTAATACTTTTAAAACTTCAGTGTGAATATAACCCTTTTTCTTTTTTTTTTAAATAGGTTTTTGATGACTGCCATGAAGGTGGTGAGATTTCACCATCTAATTGTATTTACATGACAGAGTGGCTTGAATTTTAACAAAAAGCTATGACTTCTATTGACATGTTACAAATCAGTTGTTTTGGGTGTAAACACTTCAATTCATGATGGAACATCAAATTCCCTTGAAAACAGACTTAACTATAATGGATATAGACTTGTGCTGCTATGAAAAAGTATTTATTTTTTCCTATGAAAACTATACTTATGTTCATGGAGTTCACAACAAGACTATGAAGCTGGTGAATTCAGCTGTGAAATCTGTTCAATAAATACGTTGACGTTTTGGAGGACCTCATCTGAAAGTTTGAAGATTTGATGATTCAAGGAAAAAGAAGACAACAAATCCATATTCACGAAGTATTATGATAGTAGCTAGAGCTTTAAAATGACCATTTTAAAGTTAGTTATTAAGATTTTCAATGGAAACTTTTATTGTCTACTTCCCAATTCTAAGTGATGAATGTAGAGACAGTGAGAGTGGGTGGACTTGGGGCATGAGTCACGGACAGCAGGGAACTTCTTTCCACACACTCTCTATTCCTTTTTATGTCAGAAATGTTCTTGCAGAACAATGTGCCATTGAATTTACCTCAAATGCAAAGGATGACTTTTTGTCAAGGTTATGTTTTTTAGTGCATAAATAATTATTCTTATCTTAAAGGGTATATTTTTCACTGTTCTTTCTTTCTTAAAGTTCTGTGCAAGTTTTACTCTGTCTCAGTTGTATGTTTGCTATAATTTCCTCCTGGATTCTTACCATTTAACTAAAATTAAAACTAAAAATAATCAATTGCCCTCCATTCATACTTTATTTGGGGAAGTACCATTCTTTTTTCTTGTCCTATTTTAGAGTTGTTTCCTTATTTGGTTATGAAAATCATGGCACAGTATGCCCAAATTAAGCAGAAACCCATTATAATTGTCCTGAAACTCGGTCTTTCGCTATATAGAAAATATCAGGTTATTTGACATCTTGTTGCACAGAAGGTAGCTGTGGTGCTTTATAAGATCTCAACTGTTGTAGTGTTTGCTCTGAGACATCATTTAAGTTTGTGTCAAGGCCAAACCCATTGGACAAATGGAAAGGAAAATTGAAAATTGCTGAGACTTGAGTTCAGACACAAGTGTGGAGATACTCTTTAATGGACAAACTTCAGAAGGGTTACTTTGAGATAAATGAGAATGGTAAAGTAAAATTGAGCTTAGTAACCAATGTTTAGAATTAGGCAAGTTGTGTGACCAGCTCTAGAGTTAGCATTATAATGTTAGTACTTTGAATCAGAAATCATTTCTTCATGTGTTGGATATAAGACATAGAAGAATCTAGGATCCTGAAGCTACAAGTTTCCCTTCAATCCCCAGTTGGGACATACAGTGTCCTTCCTGGCCTATTCAATGGTACTAATCTTATTTAATAAAAAGATTGACTTGGAGGAGCGTTAAGAATGGGAATAAAGAACCAGTTTGTTTTATTTTTCTTTAATTTTTAACTGAGGTAACACTGGGGTAGCTCCATTAGGTATTCCTACTATCATCTCACACCCTACCACTGTAAACTATGCCTCCCTCCCTTGCTCCCTTCTTTTACCTCCTCTCCCTTCCCACTCCCTTGATGTCTCAGTTCTGCAGTCAGCTATCAAATATTCCACTATTAGTGACACCATCCAGAACCAGTTTGTTTTAAATATGGTTTTTGTCTTAATAGCTAGAGATTGATTTTTAAAAGCTTATAATCAATAGAAAAAACTATTTCTTGATGCACCTAAATAAAAAGACCCTTTAAGTTTTTCATTTTGAGTATTAATTGAGGGAGGAAAGAAGCAATAGTTTTCAGTGCAGCACATGTGATGTATAGTTAGATATTTACTCTATAGGAGTAAACTGATCAAACTGTAGAGCCCTATATTCATGACACTGAAAGATCAAATTTTAGGTGAAGTCCTAAAACTCATGGTTGATTCCCACATGTTAAGGTATTTTGTGTAAGTATTTTGCTTGCTGGGGGAAGGACATTCCCTGGAGTGTGTCAAAGTCCCTTAATAATGATCCACAGAATCAAAAGAATCATGATTCTGTTTTTAAATCAACTGTATCTGCCATTCTTCCTTGAAGCTTCTCTGATCTTAGTTTGGTGATGCGTAAACAATGGAACTATCATTTTTATGGTGATCAACTATTGAGCAAGCTAATCAAAGCTAAAGTAATATAGAGTCACTTTTATTTTGAACTTACTCATTATTAGATAGTAGCCAAGGGGAGACTATAAAATGCATACTATATGACCAGTATTATCCAGTAGAATTATTCATGGTGATAGAATATCTGTTATTCAATAAGGTACCCCTAGCTGTCTATCTTTTCAGCACTTAAAGCGTGGCTAGTGTGAATAGTCCCTGGGTTTACTGGCTACCATACTGGGCAGTGGAATCAAAGGTTTCATTAATTTCTAAAGAAATTTCTATTTTTATAGAAGTGAAGAATATCAAAGTAATTATGTCTATTGTATATATTTGGTTTTTTTCTAAGGAGGAAGAGAACAGCTTATTATGAGCTTTTATTTATATAGTTTGTAATTTTTTAAGAAAGCACTTCTGAAAACCAGGTAGAGAATGCATTAACAGTTATTCCAAATCATTCAAATAGAATCAAACTTTGATTATAGACTTAGTAAAATCAATGCTAAAGAGCTCTTTATAAAGATCTTAACTTGCTTTTCATTAGCTTGTCTTGTAAGTTGTCTTAAATCTTAACTATTTTAATTTAGAAGTATTATATATTTAGTGTAAATTTTCAAATAAGCCCAGGTGCTTAAAATAAAGGTCCAACATACTGTATTTAGAAAAATTCCATTTCCCAAAGATAATTGTTGCTAAGAAATTAGCAAGTATGTCCTTATTTATTTTTTTTCTTTAGCATAAAAGGCATTTTAGGTTAAAATGATGGCTTTGAGTCCCCTCTAAGCATAAACAGTTCAGGAGTTCATATTACTGCAGCAAATGTCAGGTTCTTCAACATTAAGTGTGGGTTCACTAGAAATTGTTTAAGCCAGAATTTAAGAATATAATAACCATAAAAAAATTAGGCAATGAAAAGGAGTATGAACAGAAGAAAAATCATAGGATGGTACTTGAAAAACTGCTAAAGGGACATGGCAGTTAAAACCAAACTTGGAAGTATGGAAAGATTATTTTTTAAAATACTTAAAACTATTATATTATTAAAAAATAATAATAATAAATAAAAATAAAAATACTTAAGACTAACAAAATCCAAATCATTGCCATGACTTCATCCTTTAGTACTATATTTCTTGGGCTTTATAGAGAATCATTGAAAGTATGTAAGTTAATACTTATGGCACAGACCAATGGATGTCTTGGACTGTGTGTCTTGCTGTGTTTGTAAATTTTTGATTTAACACTGAAGTTGCCAACTTAATCTACCTGTATATAGAATGGATATAATTCACATACATAGGGGTTGTATATACTTAATATATATTCTCTGAATACAAAAACCACTATGAAGTTTTTTTCTTTTTCACAAAAATTCAGAAAATTGGCAACACCTTGCAACATTTGTATATGGCAACAATTCAGACAGGGCATGAGATCTCTACATTTCCCCTCAACCACCCTTGTCTTAGACACATGTAGTCAGCTATGCAGGCCATGCCTGATTTCTGCATTCAATTCACAGAATCCTGATGAACCATACTCTCAACATATTTGAAGGATTGGGGGTAAGTGTCAAAAGTGAAGGCCCTGGTCTGGGTTTAATATTCTGGGCTAGCCTGAAACTGCTAGTGTTTTACATTCTAAGCCAACTCTGGAATTGGGTTTTATTCTTCCAATAGAATAGAAAAGTTTTATTTTAAAAGAAGCATAAGTATAATTCCTGTAATATATACGAAAACTGTTTGGTTTTAATCTGGACCAAAGAGTCAAGTCATGAAACCTGGGTTCCACTTCTGTTTTATTCATTTTGAATTGGTAAGTGTGTTAAGCCTACCTTTATGTCAATTATCAACTGAGAAATTACTGCGCTAGTCGATACATTTGGGTAGATGGAGATTCTACAGAAATGCAAGTGTTCTAACAGTGTGAACACTCTGTTTTTAGGTATTTTGGAATTTAATTTGATCTGTTTTATTATGTGTATAGTAATTACCGTATAATAGATTATTATTTATTAATAATATGATAATTGCTCTACCTCTACATTAGTATGCAGAATAGTAAAAATGATCTTGTTTACGCTGGTACTTGCAACATAGACTTTACCACATTAACCAGTTCATGAAACTCTGTGTTCTGAAAGTGGCCACGATCAGTGAATTTGTACAATTTGGCTCCCAACCGATCAGCCACTTCTTGTTGTTCTTTCCAGGGAAGAAAAGGATCATCAGTGGAGCCAAACTGCACAATGTGAGGACAGTTGGTTTTGATCTTCTCCCATTGCCAGGGGCGGTTGAAATATCCTATAGGAAAAAAATATTTATAACCTATTATTGTCCATTGAGAATTTCTATTATCATACCAAAGACAAGAATCAGAGCCTACATGCGAGTTAGACGCATTTCTTTAGTTTTCCATTCTGCAGTACTTGATAGCTATTGTGAATATGTGACTCAAATAAAATCAGGACTCTAGGGCTCAAGTATCAACTATGGTTTAGAAAATGGTCTACTGAGGAACTGACTCCCTGGTGGCTTAGCGGTTAAGTCTTAGCACTATTACAGCTATGGCATGAGTTTGATCCTTGCCAAGACTGGCATATGGTGCAGCAGACCTCTCCTGTCTTGTCGGCTGCTCCCCTTACCAGTGTATTTCAGTCAATTTGCCTGTTCTGCTTCCCACTCTGCCTGTGGTGAGTCCCCGACCTCTGGCCTACACACCAGTTCTATTAAAAAAAAAAGCCACCTCTCAAGTGCCTATCTTATACCTAATGATGGGCAGTAAATATTTCTCACTTGTTACCAATTCTTTAGCCTATCTGAAAGATGGTACTGTTTCATAACATGAAGAAGCAGCCTCGAGACTAGAAGTAAGGCTTTTCTGTTGTTTTCTGCCACCAAACTTACCACTTGCACGCTCATTTTCATCCCCCAAGTCTGATGTATATGCAGACACTAAAACAATAGCATATATTTGATGTGTTTCTGCATATCTGGAGAGAGAGAAATGATGTCAGCTAGTATTAACATGAAGTTTGACCTCCAAAAAGTAAGTATAACACCTAAAATCTCATTTGCTCTAGTATATAGGAGACGTGCTAGATGCTGAGGTTGGCAAGGAAACTGCAGTATTTTAAGGCTTTTGGATAGTCACTTAAACTTTGCTATTTGATAGATTTCTACTCATTCTTCAAAGTAGTTCAAAGCTCTTCTGTAATCCTTTCCAAATGAAAAATATAATCATTCCCTTTGATGTGTGCATTAGTACAAGTTATTTGGTTGGCTGACGTGTAGTATACATCAGCATTACTTAGTCGGCAGATTCTCAGGCTCAGTTCTATAGCAGGTGATTCCAAAGGTTGGGATTGAGACCCAGATATCTGCATTTTAATAAAGCATTATACTTCCCCCAATCCAGGTGACTAATACAAATCATCTATAAGCCATATTTAAAAAAACTATCAGGTCAGAAATTCACCTCTTTTATCACACATCCCATGTTGCACTGCAATACTGCTGTCGCATCTTATCCCCCTCATCAGCTCTCAGCTTCCGAAGAGCAGATATGAACTTTCTTTTTTTTTTCAAGGTTTATCCATTTATGCATACAGAACTGGGGTGCAGATCAGAGGTGCAGGGGTAGTGTGAAGATTCACTGGGAACAGAGCGGGGAGCAGAATAGGCAGATCGATAAAGCACACTTCTGAGGGGAGCAGTGGGCGCATCAGGAGAGGTCTGCGTCATGAGGGTCACCTCCCTAGCCGGGGGTCGAACTTGCCCTGAATCGGTTGTGGCTAGCTTCATAGTGCTGTGCTTTGTGTCAGCAGGCCCAGATATGAACTTTCTTGACCATTATGGTCCTGGTATTTAGGACTGTGCCTGGCAAATAGACAACACTTTGCAGACAGTTCTCTCCTTCAGCAAAGACTAAGTTAAGGCAAGATGTGGACTGGTACTAGCTTCAAAAGGCTTTTGTGTCAAGGAAAGATTTATGGCTAGTATTTTGTTCTGGTGCCTAAACTTCTTACCAAACCTTTCAACTACAGAAGTTAAACAACAAGCATCTAGTCATTTTGTCAAGTCACTTCTAAATACATTAGAATGTATTGCCTAAGAACAAGGCCATTCTCTCATATAACCATGTTACTATAATTACACCTAATATATTTAACATTGCCAGAGGCCCCTAGGTCCTGTATTCATCTATCCCTTCCCCCACTGTACTAAAAATATTCTTAAAACTGCTATCAACCCTAAACTCAGTCAAAGATCATGCGCCACATTTGGTTTTCATAACACTTTAATCAGTTAAATTTTTTTTGCTTTAAATAACAGTGACATTTTTTAAGAGTTTAGTCCAGTTGTCTTGTACATTTATTCCCTAAACTGAATTTCTGTGCCATCATTAGACTGAAGTCAAACACTTTGGGCAAGAATATTACATAGACAGTGGGCTTCCCTGGTCCGGGGGTGAAGTCTCAGCACTATCTCCATAGTGGTCTGAGTTCAATTCCCAGCCAGGAAGCTAAACCACGTATGGCATAGCAGACCTCTCCTGTTTTACCCACCGCTCCCCTTTGCAGTGTATTTTGGTAAATCTGCCCGTTCTGCTCCCACTCTGTCTCTTGTGAATCCTTTCACACCCTGTTCCTCTGGCCTATACCCCTGTTCTTCTATGCAAAAATAAAATCTTTTTTTTTAAAAAGAATATTACACGGACAATAGCAAGTCATTCCCATTCTATCACATCAAAGGCATGTCATCATTCCCTTTAGTGGTGAGGTAAACTGATTTCTTATGGCAATATCCATTAAGTTACTCCTTTTTGTCATAGATAACTAACATAAAGGGTAGTCCTCTATGCTAATATCCCCTACAAGCTCACATTTTATGTTTGGGCATCTATTTTTCTCCTTGCCTACATTAACTGTAGAAGCTAATTTTTTACAGGTTGCTGAAAATCCTACAGTAAGTCTCAGGTTCTTTAAAAGAATGCCCATCTTTAGTGGCCAATGGCTTGATAAAAATTCAGTTGGCCTTGAAACTGGTATAGATTTCAGCATAAAGTGATGTCTACATTTTCTATACAATACCTAGCAGCTTATAAATAATATATTGTACCCTAATTCTGTAGCTCCTGATTGGAAAATGTTATTTTTATAGCTTTCATTGGTATACCTGGAAGATTATGGAATTTGATGAGTGTCTAACATGTATTGATAGTTCATGTGACATCTTGAGGGTTTGCTGGGAAAGGGCACAACACAAAAAACTATAATCCTTTGCCATCCATTCTAAAAAATATGGAGGAAACCCAACCCTAGTAGACTTATTCAGTCAGCTAAATCCCTACTCCTTGGGCCTCATAAGCCTACAGAGAAAGATACCATGTTTTGATGGAAAGCATCAGGGATGGGCTCTTGGGATGAATCCTAAGGATTTGGGGGGTAGGCACCACTAACAACCTCCAACAAATATTTACTGAGCACCTACCATATGGCAGACTCTTCTAGGCACTGGGGTTTCAGTGTCAGAATGAACAAAGTCCCACCCTCTTGGAGTTACATTCTATTATCAGGAGACAGATAAGAAATAAACAGGATGTCAGATGCTGGAAAGTGCTACAGGTAATTCTGGGGATAAGAAGGCAGAAGGCAGACGAATCTGGTGTGAGATTGCTGTTTCAGAGAGTGATTAGAGAAGGCCTCACTGAAAGGAGACATTTGAGCAGAAGTTTTGAGAGGTAGAACAGCAGCAAGCACAGGCCAAAGGAAGATTCATGCAGCGTGTTAAGGAACATGAAGACTGTAAGCCAGACTGGGGGCAGTGAAAACAGCAGAGTTAGTGAGGCCCTGAAGGCTGAATATTTCTTCTGAGGGTAACTGGAAGCCACCTGGGGTTTGCAGCCCTTAGGTTTTTAAAAGGATCACTGTATGCCAATAAGAACAAAAAATGTTTTAATCCACTAACCAAACCAGGAAGGAATTAGGACAGATTACGTTACAATTTTTGAGGTCAGCATCATTTCTTCTACAGTATAATTTAAGATCTGCACAAGGTATTTCCTAAGCAAGCATGGCTGGAGCCTGCACAGGGGTGACAGTTTACAAGGATCACACCTCATGGCCGCAATGGCCCCCGAACTGTGGCCTATGATGACGGTCTTCTCATCACAGTGCAGCTCTGTCTCCATGAAGGGCAGCCAGATGCTCTCTCTAGCTGTAACTAAGGTTCAGGGTAAAAAAACAACCTGTCATTTGAGAGGGACAGTCTTAGCTTACTACTACCCGCCTTTCTAACAGACTTGGTTGATCACATTTTTAAAACTGCAGGACCACAGTGGGGCTCTCTTAATATAGTCAAAAACTTGTCTTGCTGTTTGAAAGATACAAGTCTGTAGTTTTTCTTTTATTTCTTATTAAGTTCTTGTAAGAAAATACTGAAGAAATAACAAGTAACCCTGAAGATTTAATGTAAATTTTCAAACTTAAAAAGCTCCTGACAACATTTTCTCCCAAATTCACACACATATATAGATTTTACTTCCCAAAAAGAAATTCCTGAAACAAGTCATAGACACACTCAGGACAAGAGTGGCAATGTTACATTCTAAATATTAGGATCTCACATATAATGTTATAAAGTTTTATATTTCTGCCTCAAATGAAACACCCATAACTTTTACCTGAAAATACTTGTTGATTTATAAAAGGAGAAACCATCTTGCTTGCAAAGTTAAATGTTCAATTTTACCAGGTCAGGTGCTTTTCTTGAAATACTAGGATTTGGGATTTTGTTTGTTTTTGTTTTGGGTTTACATTCTCCTCCCCAACCTGCCTGCCATCATTCAGTCTGAGGTATAATTCCCTTTGACTTCTCTACTGTTTTATTCCTACTGTCCCCCAGAAAATGATGGCATCAAAACACAATGAGAACACAAATTTAAAACTTACTTGGGTCAGGCATGTTTTTAGCCAAACACTGGAAACCAGGTATCTATGATATGAGGGAAGGGAAAAAAAGCTGTAACAAAGAGCTTAATTATACCTAATACATTACACCTAAGAGAGCTAATAAGAAATAAGACACCTGACACAATCTTTATCAATTCAATAAGTATTTGCTTACATTATTAAAAGAAGTAGGTTAAGTGCTACAGGATTATACATGAATACATACTCCTTCATAATCTTCTGTTTGCAGTTCTATATCAAGCCAGCTATACAGAGAGAGCTCTTTATAGAAGAACCTACCTCTAGACCTACCACACAGGCATATATCTATAGCAAGGGCATGAGTGAATGCATTCTAGACAAACTGTCCTGAGTCAAAAAGAGTGCATCAAGGAGGAAGTAAGATGTGATATACCCACCCTCTTCAGCAAAGCCCTTTCTGTCTACATCCTTCTCCTGTCTTATGCTCTAGAACTAGCTTTGGTCAGAATTTTGGCTTGTGAAATTGCCTACAAACTTCTGTTGGGACTTAAAAAAAAAAAAAACAACTGGTAACATTGGTTTACAACACTTTTATGATGCAGAGTACAGGGCCACACTTCTTCAGGTGTATGTTACCAATATGTTACTACCAATGCACCATCCTCTTGAGTTGCAACTGTGATCTTTTTGGTTTATAGCACTGACCACGGTTTTTAGCTATAATCCTCAATTTTATTCTTGAGACCAACTCTTGAGTTCTAGACGACCAGATTCCAGGAAGCCCTATTGCCTGGCTATTGAAGCGGGCTGAAAATAACAAGATGCATACGACAACCCACAGTAGGATACAATTTCTCTAAAATTCAGAAAGAAACCAAATTAAACACCATGTTGTTTAAAGATACATACAAATTGCAAAAGGGGAGCAAATACAAAGACAAATTTCAGAGTGAGGGAAGTGGATTGGGGTACATACAGGTGACTTCACATGCACAGGCAACACTCCAGATTTTACTTTGGGGATGGATTCTCAGGTTTTCATTACATTTCATATTTTACATATTACATGCTATATAACTTAATACTACCTACTGAATTATTATTATTTTTTTTTAAATCTGAGGCAAAGAGCAAAGAAGACAGATGTAAACTTACCTGAGAAGTTCCAAATCAGAACCAGCAGCATACAAGAGCAGGTAGGGTTCTGGTCCCTCGGACTAGTAAGTTATGCCATGTACTCTATAAATGAGCCCTCACCCAAAGGACTATGGTGGAGGGCTTTGGTGCCTTGGTGGTGGGTAAGATACACCTAAAGACGTGTGATCCTATACTCTGAGTTAGAGTGTTGTAAACCAGTGTTACCTTAATTAAAAAAAAAAATTTAAAGTCCTAACAGAAGTCTTATAGGCACATTAACAGTCGAAAGTACGACCACAGCTAATTACAGAGCTTAAGACGGGAAAGAATGAAATCAGGGTTTTGCTGAAGAGGGGTGAGTGTGGGGAGTTTAAGCCTCAGTCCTCCTTCCCTTATGGTCCTCCACGGCTGGCTGACTTCCCAGTGCAGGGGAGCGCCTATTTCTTACCTGCTCCAGCCCCCTTTTCACCCAGCCATACCAGCCTTGGGTAGCCACATCCCCTCCTCCGTTCCCGGGAACAATAACCGCCTTATTAGGAGAAGCCATGGTGCACAAGGGCCAGTGTACCCCAGCAGTCAGTCGCGCAAAGATCCGAGTCCGATATCGCATCCGCTGGGGAGCCTGTACTGTGGCATCCTGGGAATTGTAGTTCTAAGCAGCTTCTGGGGCAATTCATATTCTTTTCCGCCTTCCTTACTGTACCAAAACCAAACCTTGTGGGTATGTAAATCCCTTTTATTTGCCTCCTCCTAGTGCTCTAATTTTTGCTCCCTTATTTTGGACATACTGTGACATGCCCAAAATATGTTATCTCTTTACTAGGTGTACTGATATTTCTATAGATAGGTGATTTTAGTTCCAAAGACGCAGAAACAATCTCTATTAATTGAGGGCTCCTAAAATCCATATTATTTTTTCTTCTTAATTCAAAACACTTCTTAGTAGTATAGTCAATATCAGCCATAATTAGTATTATTTCTTGCTTACAATGCTGTCTTCTTAAAAGTTTTCACCATTTGTGGGGAGCAAGTAACATTCATACTTACACCAGTTGAGAGTGGGGAAAGGTGTCAATGAAATAGTTCACCCATTGTGTTATAGCAGTCCTGAAATTTTAGGAATGGGTCATACCTTATAGATATAGCCATACTTTATAGATACAGCATTATAGACATATCCAAGCCTTATTAAATGGAGCGCTCGGAGTGGACAAGAAGTGGGTATTAGTGTACCTATGTGGTTTAGTGAGAATGATAGGCAAGTGCTTCCCCTGCCTTGCCCTTCCCATGAACCTACTGTGTGCATCAGGCATGTTTTAACATCTGACACTGAAAAATACTCTTTGGCAGCTTACGTTTGAACTGGCACAAGCAGGTAACTAAAAATATACCACCTGACCACCACATTCTTTAGGAAGAGTAAATATACTCTTTCCTCTTGAATCTTAGACAGGCTTTTCTTAAAAAGGTCAGTGTTGACGGAATTTTTTTTTTTAAAGATTTATTTATTTGTGCATACAGAACTGGGGTACAGGCCAGAAAGACTTCACCAGAGACAGAGCAGGGAGCAGAACAGGCAGATTGACCGAAGTGCACTGCTGAGGGGAGCAGCAGGTGGGTCAGGAGAGGTCTGCCACACCATGTGGTCACCTCCAGGGCAGGCGGGAATCAACTCATGCGGAATTGGTTTCAGCTTCTTAGTGCAGTGCTTTAACCCGCTGCGCCACCAGGGAGGGCCTGTTGATTGAATTTTAAATGTAAACTTACTCACTTCATATATAATGAACTGAGTCACAAATCACCATGGATTAATCCTGAAATAATTATGCTGAGTAAAAGGTGCCTGTGCATACATTATAATTGCATTTATTAAAACTAACAGAATACAAAGGGCACAAGGAATCAACATGAGGTTCATTATCTTGATTGTAGTAACAAATCAAAATTTAACAAACTGCACACTTCAAATATGTGAGGATATTCCTGTAATGGAGTAGTTGTTTGCTTAGGTTTTTAGTTCAACAAATAGTGACACACCCTATCAGGAACTTCAGACTAAAAAAGGATCTATCCTTCTAAGTGTTCTCTTTTTTTCCACTCAGGTGGTCAGGTCTTCCTTTGAGGAGCAAAATAAGGCAATGGTTTTAACACTCACCTTTCTTACAATATTTATGGTAATGATTTCAGAGATTAAATAAACACACACAAATCCACATTGTTTTCTACTTTTTATTTCTTGTAAAGCATTTTCTGAGCTTGTCATTTTCAGAGAAGAAATAGTTTTGCTTCAAAACAAAAACATTAACATTTTCATGAACTAAAAAAATCTGAAAATGAGCACTCATATCTGGTACATTGTTTGCTAATATGAAATAGTTTTTCCCAAGGACTTGTCTTTCTAATGGGTTTAGCAACCCCTCTGTAAAGCCCTCCTAAAAAAAAAATCTTCTGTCTGAACTTTTTTTTTTTTAGATATATTTATTTGTGCATACAGAACTGGGGTACAGGCCAGAGACTCAAGGGCGGCGAGAGGCTTCACCAGAGACAGAGTGGGGAGCAGAACAGGCAGA